GTTGTGCGTGGTTATGTCAACAACACTGCACGGACACAAATAGCTAGCCATCCGTAACCGCTACCATGGTGAATGCCGTTAAAAAGAGTACCAGCATGTGTAACAGAGGTGCATCAAATGGTACTCACTCAGTCGATGCACAAATCGGTGTGAATTTATCTCACGCAACCTAAGATTCCATTGACTTACATGGTTCAAAGGAGGGAGGACCGACTTCAACGACGGCTGTCAGAAATAAAACCTCCAGAAACAGGCTCAATACACGAGTCCTCGAAAACCATCTGGAGTCTCATCGTACGTGTTACGTGATTGTGATCTGGCGTCATGATCATATATCGACCCATTATGATAATCATGCTATAAACCCCCATTATATGCCACTCTTAGGTAACAGTGACAATGCAGTTCTAGTCTTCCATTCCCTTATTGTTATCAACAATGATGCATCAATCAGAGACGGTGAAGATGCCACAGGTATTCGGAGTTTGACAACGCTTTAACCAGTAACACCGGATGCAATTAAACGCAACTCAATTTCGTAAATGTGCTTTTCAGCTTAGCAACCAATCAGAATGTGGCGGGAATTATTATATCAGCCATCTTTGTACGTAATGGCGGCCGGCTTTCTTCGTTCTGTGCTTCTTTTAGCTATTTCTTTTGTGTAGCTATGTAATTAATGTTTCAATGTGCTAAGATGCCGCAGTTAGTGTAATGTTCTACATCTTGGTGTGAAATTTACTTCGAATCAGTATTGTTTTCTGGGTTTTTGCTGCTTCTACTCTAGTCAATGTATTTCTTCAGTCATGCTGGTTAGTCTTGTTTTAAAATGGGAATCGGTTTTGTTTTGACTTGTTTTCAAGATATCCAAAGCCGAAGTTCGTTTTTTCTTAGCTGAAATATCTGTTGCTGCCTCCTGTGACTAACTGTTCGCATGTTCATTCCTAACTGTCCTTTATGATGTTATCGGCAAAATGAAAGGAAACAATTCCCGGTTTTTAACTTTCTTCAGTATTGTAGACAACAATATCCCACCAATGAGTCAAACTTATACTTAGTGCCTAGCCGTAGGGGATGTCAGTATTGTTTTCGAAAGTACTCAGGCTTCCGACAACCATAGACGAAGTCACAGATGCTACCAATCTATTGCAGAGGGTTTGTTATGAAAAAATATGCCACATAGCAGTAATGGAGGGGTTGTACGCTACGTAGTGCGTTAAAGCAAGCTTAACATTGAAATGCCGGAAATCTGCTATCAGTGTGTAGTGTATGCTTGCTGTTTCGGCCATAAAAGGAAGCCGAAGGGTCATGATCAGGGAGTAAAAAGGTAATTAACTGTTATTAAGCTAACTGTCTTATAGGTCATATTTCACCACTATCAAATCTGTTTTTTTACGGTATGACGTCAGCCGGTACCTAATATGTTCACCCTTACGATGAAAAGTACCTGCAAATTCTCACCTTCATATTCGAATTATTTTGAGATAACTGTCTTCCAGTTTGAGTGCTTCGTACGCCCTGGGAGTCCAGATTCCTACATTATTCACAGTTCCAGTATAACTTTCTCACGCAGTATGTTAAAAGTAAACACTAGTCTTTCTAAATAAGTATGTTAAGTTAATATCCGTATTATCTATTTCAGTTGATCGATGAAGACATGTAACACGAGCGTCTGCTGTATATTGCTATTTTACTTCAATTCTAACTGTTATATATTACTTTTGAAAAATAAAATTGCTATATGCAGACTTATTGTTTTGATGGTGGTAGGGGGGTTCATGGTTTTTTTAGCAGGACTGTAGTAATATTCTCACTAAAGAGCTAAGTGAGTGCGTAGACCAATGTAAAGTACTATACAGGGTGCCTTTGAATTACTCGTGTTCCATTAGTGTCGGTAGAATCATTACTTGCTTATCATATGACATTTGAATAAGAAGCTATGATATTAGACGCAGGGACGGTTAGGATGTGCAACGCGAGGTGACCTATTTACTTACAGTATCCTTAACACTTCTGGACATTCTCTTAAACACCTACTTGAGCTTAGTTTCAGAAACTAGAAACACGACATAGCAGAATGGACTGTAGACCCAACTTCTACTCCTTAAGAGTTGTCGAATGCTGGAATTCGCTGCCCACCGAACTAGTCCAAGCGACTTCCCAGGAGTCCTTTAGGAGGCGACTGAATCTTTTATTGTTAACATACCTAGGTTCCTGCTTGGAGGTTTTCGGGATCCCCTGCTACTAGACACGGAAGCCTGAATATATGAATTAGGTTATGAGAGGCTCGATTATCGCAAGTTTCTTGCAACGATTAAATAGGTAAAACAAAGTAGCATTAGGTTCAAAATTTTATTCGAGAACTTTCATTAAGAATCGAATATGAAAAAGGTTTAAACCAAGTTCCAGTCTAAAAGTTGCATTGGTAATGTTAAGCTGCAGTTTTTGTTGTTTTTTTCAAACGAAAGAGTAAAAGAAGTAACTCAAAAAGTACTGGAAGTGGTTGTGAGATTAAAATGGACATCCAGCATTCTTTTTATGATCTGGTGTTAGTTGGGTCTCCCGTAAACAGATCCATAGGGCCATAGTTCTAAGGGCGAAACAGTTCTTAACATCTGTGAAGACTCAGTCCTGTTGCATTGTAAATGAGAAAACAGTAATGAATTTAGTCAGAAATGTGGAATAGATAAATAACCAAATTACATGTATTTTAGCAAAGAATTTATGCAGTTGTGATTTACCTTTAGTTCATGAATATTAGGTCAGGTCAGCTATTTATTGTGCAAAGCATAACATGGACTTAATACCGTATCTCAATGCTTTTATTATTTTGCTCTCATTTAAGTATTACCATGTATCTGCATCTAGTTTAACAGGGAGACATACAAGCAGAGTTAGTGTTTGATGAACTAAAAGTCCTAGTAGTCAAAAAGATTCTTAACATTTGTCCACAGCCAACTGCATTTAATTGAGATACAGACTACTCATCTTCTAAGACTGTATACTGCTCTTCTGTGGGCAAATAAAAGCTCAGACACTTAGCTATCCTGCTACCGATGTTATTGCTGGGGAAATTGTTTAATGACAGTGATCATGAAATATGGTCAGTGATAGATGTACAATCTAGAAATAAACACCAAACATACTTATCGCTATCTTATAATGTATAACAGCAACAGTACCAAAAGCACTTTTTTCCTATTTTTAATCAGACTGATTTGAATCAGTATACTCATCAGAAACAGGCAACTCTACTTACTAAGCTGATCTGTTTCGTTACAGACTTCAAGCACTATACCATAATTCTTTCAACTAAACTGAATTATACGACAACCAAGAATACTAAACTAAGCAAGTGTCATAGTTATTGTTTCATTTGCACAGGCATATTGCTTAAAGTAGTTAAATGGACATAATTAAGACGACAAAACAAAAACACGAAATATAGGCCAATTGAACTTACCTAACAGAAGACAAAGAATATATATATTGCTTTGCGACTGAAGACAACAGGCAGTTGTTCATAAAAACATAGTTTATAGTACAGTAAACCTTTCTACAGTAAAATCATGCACTGACAGTCTATCTGGAAACAATCGACTATGTGAATAAACTCACTATGACTTGAGATATCATCCCAGTATGCAATGGACGTGCAGTGTAACGCAGTCGAACGCGGCGAATAAAAATATAAAAAAGATCAAAATTAGCTATATAATCTAGTTATTTAATTAAAAATACATTATGAAATGACAAAATCTGTGGTTACTTGAACGCACAGATGACCGATACATTAAGTTTACATGGTTGCGTTGCGGATAAGATCACCCGTAACACCTAATATGAATAGTACCCAACAAGTGAAATCAAAAGACAGAAGCGAGGAGGTTAGTAGATACATTTGATAGGCCATCAATATGTTGAGGATCGTCTGATCTAATCTGGCTAGCGATCGCAGGGGTGGCTGAGCACGGCGTTCCCATTCGTGATCTAGTGCGGATGCATGACCGAGCGCCTTCGGCTAGTTGAATCCATTAAAAATAATGTGGCTAACACCCAATGTCGAAAACTTACAGAGCTATTTATTTTGGGGATTGTTGTACCGCTACAACAGAACAAACTTCTAGAAGGTGAATAAACACAAAATCATACATTCGGCATCCTCAGTTGATTGAACAATAAAATAAGAATTGCGGATTGAATCGGCTCACGAAGTATTCTGAAATATATACGTGAAAGTGACTACACCACATATTACTTGGACTACACCAAGGAGCCCGAGAAACTCCCCACGTGGTTCAGTGAGGAGTTTCGCAACCTTCTCCGTATGAGGAAAAGAATGTGGGAGAGATCCGGGTTAGTAGATATCAACAAAACAAGTTCCCTTTGTCGAGGAGCTCGAAATATTTGTGTTTCGACCCTTTGCAAATCCAGATATTTGTGCGAAGTAGAGCTTGTTATGGAGTCCATAGAATATCCTAAATGCTTAAACTCGTACATACATCCAAGAACTCAGAGGAGAGAATGTATTCCAGCATCAAGTGGAGAGATTAGTACTTCATCACTGGTACAGGATGGTTATAGAGAAGCTCGGATATTCTCAAATTGCTTTATTAATGTATATATTGTAAAGACGTTCTCCTCTTTAGTTCATACAACTCCCCACATACACTTTGGACACTGTGACCATTGAAGAATTCGATCTACTGGACAAGTTATATACCTTCACTTTTCTCGTCTTCTGAAACAGAAAATTTATAAGGACACTCACAAATGTTCGCAAACCAAGAGAAAATGATTTTTCAGCTGACTACCAACTATCTCGTTGAATCATCAGCAAGTGGAATTTATTACACCAACATGTGATTAAAGCTTTATCTGTCGACGCTTTTAAAAGAAAGTTGGATCAACTGAGAGACCACTATTCCCAGGACTAACACAGGCCACTTAGCCTCCCGTCTTTTCTAAACCGAAACTTAGTTATTATCAGTATCTTGGTAACAAAAAGGTCAACATATCAAAAATGTACGTTACTGAATTTATTGATTCCAAAATAAAACAGCGGAGAGTGCTATTGATATCAAAACAAAAATCTCCAGTTTGTCAGACTATTGAGGGAATTTTGAGAACATACAATCTGAATAAAGAACAGGATAACAATTTTGAAGTACTATGCATAGATTGCAGGAGTGATTGTGCTACAGTAGAAACATATTTATGGCATAAGCTAATCTACAGAAACAGGCAGGTGATTGATGACTTATCGCATGCTTCTTTAACCATTTGATTTAATATGCCTCAGATTTACGTCTTTCATCTTAAATTCCGATAAAAGGCACGGGACATCATCGGTCAAATTCTCATGCGTCTGTTTATACAGTCAGTATCTCGCTTTATATGTGATATTTATAACTGTATATACATATGTGTGGACTTTGTGTTTTTTAAAGTTAGTTGCAAAAATCATCTAACTATTTAATCAAAACATAGTGGATACGTTAAATTTACTGAAAGGTAAGTATAGTCGTCAGGGAAAGGTGATACATAAGGTATGCTTTTCCAATATTCTTCATCTTGCTACATAGAAATCCTCTTAAAGCATAAGTATTACGCTATCCAGAATTCTTGCCTACAGTACTGGATGGAAAAGTTTCACCAGAGCTGTTTCTCACAAAGAATGACTTCAAATATGGATCACATTCTAGACTAAATAAATACCTAGGATTATGTCCGAAAAAACACATGAATTAATGGGACAAAACTTACAAACAATTCGAGAACTTGGGATCTAAGAGAAGACAGAGTGAATGCACCTCTACCATTTGAATGCTTCTAAACCATGTCACTAAAACGTCAGTTACGGCACTCATCCAGTCTTCAATTAGAATTGCTAACTCAGTGGTTGAATACTAACAACCTACGGATATCCTCAATTTTCAGAAGCTACGTTTCACATCCACAAAGTAGAACGGAACAAACTGCTGCGCAAAATACTGTTTTAACTGACATACAAATAACTCTTCCACACTACAAGTGATACGACTTATCAAACGCTGAGCTTTCTGAACTCATGTCTAGATCTCGTCAGGCAGCAAGGGTTTGAAGAAATCAAAAACTATGTCGCTTATTATTAGTTCAAACGTTGACGCAAACCAACAGTGAAGCAATAATCTTCATTTAAAAGGATTCTGGTTTTGAAGTGAACACTAAAGAAACAATTTTCATACATGGTCTTCACTTAGTTGGTGGTACAATACTTAACGGCACATCTAAGCCATATATCACGAGTAAAATCTAGGTAGACGAACTCCCCATTACGTTATCCATGTCCACTAGAGGGATATGGACGCCCTATCCCACCTTTACATCGTTTACACACGCCCAGACTACCGTGAATTCCCCAGTTGTGTCGGCGAACTTTTAGACTTTACCAAGTGTGTCTCTTTCCACAACAGCACCTACTATTCCCAACCAATAAGTTGATTCACAAACTCCATAGATTAGTCGTCAAGTGACATGGTGCAACTCGGAATCGTTTGCAGTTTACTTTGTCTAACCTTAGATCCTAAATCGCTAAATTTTTTTTGTTCTATGGATCCATATTTTCTTCAATCAAATCTTTCCTACTACCAATAATACTCTTGCTACTTACACTACTCTAGCATCTCACTGTGCAAATATGTGGCGTAACTTGAAACGATTCAAGCATGTACTATGGTTTACGTTGCTTATAACTGACTAACTGATAAAGTAAATTGTATCAAAACATTGTCTCATGAGAGTCCAGTTCCATCCAGCTAAAAAAAGACCTGGATAGTAAATGCTAGTAATGTCAAAGCTTCTTTTGATAAAGCTAAGGTTTGTCTCCTGTCATTACGTGTTGAAACAGGCTTGAAATTCTGTTGCGAAATCAATTATCCGAGTACTGAAGTTCCTTATGAAAAACTGTTCCGCATGTCAATAGCACTGCTACTTCTAAAGACAAAGATAACTGATATATATTAGTAATCAGTCGTCAGCTACTTAATATTCCCAGTCTTGTTGTCACCAGCGCATAATAAGCTAAAGAAAAATCTCAGCAAATACTCACTTTTATTGTTTAAAATTCATACTAATTCCGTTATACTTATTGCTAACAATCAAATTGTTTTAATCCCCCGATATTTCCCATGAACAAATCCAACTCCCACTTTCTTTTCAGGTACCACATTTATTTCTGGATGGCAAGCACATAGGAGGAGAACCAGAAATAAAGCGCTTACATGAAAGCGGTGAAATGAGACGAATATTTAAGGAAGCAGGTCTTTGAAAACTCCTTATAATCAAAGTAACAAACTCAGGAATGTAGAAAGGAACTTATTATTGCCAAACACTTCCAATAGAAGGTTGCTACGAAATATATACCATATTGAAATTAAAGTGACGTTTTATTGATCTCACGAAACTACCCAAGAAATAAATAATTAATTTCGTTTCAAACTTAATATACGACAATAAATTAGACAGGAAGCAGCAGCAAAACGAATCAAATTATAATACTACTAAATCATCCCGTGACAAAGTCGAACATGAAATTCCCACGAAATATCGCACAATAATAACTGCACGTTTTATTAGAGAACGTTCGAGTTTAGACCATTGTGTTGTTAGTAACTAGTATTAATAAACGCTGAGTTTGCATGATTTTACTTGTCCCAATTACAACCAAACAATTCAGCAGAACAATTTCGTTGAGCTCTATATTAGATACTAACGCTTACTAAACAAACTGTCTAAATATTTGAGCCACGTCAACCGCTATAAAGTCGCATTTCGATAAAGTCCATGTACAGTTACTCATTAAAATCAACAGATTACGATCACTATTCCTAGTAAGAAGTTAATATATAAATTCAATAACCCATACATAATCCAATTAATTGTTCATTCTCTTTCACTCAAAGTAAACTAGTATACTGCAGACTACAAGACTATACTTTAAATACATCAAAGTTACGCAAGAAACACTTTGAGGGATAAAGAAATGCTAAAATGAAAACAAATGTGGAATTGGGCATAAATCTTAGCTCTTAAATATACAGCAACAGTATTGTTTAGTCATTAACCTCTTCTAGGAGGTAAACCACCGCGAATAGATCCAGGCTTTCCAGTAGCACAACCTCTACTAGTAGGTAGGCTGGAACGTCTAGTAGCTCTTGGCACAGAAGCAACAGGACACCATTTTTTTCTTCGAGCCGGCCCACTAGTACATGCACTATCTGATACACTTGACTGTGCAGTAGAAGGGTCGAAGGAATCCCAGACAATGGGTTGAATCTTTGGTCGAGCTGTGCTAGAATCCCCAGAGCCTGAAGGTTCTAAAAAATAACAAGAAGAGGGTATGGTCAGTAAGACTTTGATGGCTACTAACAGTAATAACAATCCATGGAAAATAAATCAATAAGCATAATAAAACAGATATGATCAGTGTTTTCGCAAGATGAATTAAAAAATTATTTAGTCTTTAAGAATACAGCGATAGAAATTCAATAATCACCTTTGGAAGCTGCAATTGAAGCAGAGAATGTAGAAGGTTTAAAAAGTAATGGAGTGGCGGTTGAACTTGGAACTGTATTCACTGGCAAAAATGATTTGAAAAGTCCCGTGCAACTACCAGACGGAAGTCCGGACTCAGTAGTAGCAACTGAATATGGAACAGTTAGTGAAGAAGGCTTAAAACCGGAGAAAAGACCAGATGAACCCAATAATGAGCCGGAACATTTGGGCAGACCAGAGTTGCTAAAGAGACTAGGAATAGATGATTCGCCAAATAAACCCTTGCTAGAAGAAATAGGTTCCATCTCCGTATTGAGAGAAGTTGGTACGTTTTCTGAAATCTGAGGAGTGGAGTCACTTTTCTCCGTACTGTTTGTCTCATAATGTAATTGCCCATCATCCTCACCTACCCTTTCATTGCAATCACCGACATTTTCAGGTACTCCCACATCTGTAGGTGCTATGTGTTCATTTGTTTCCTCGTTGCCGTAATTTTCCACACCAGAAGAGTAGTGCTCCTCAGCATCAGCACCACGTGCCTGGGTATCATCATCAGAACCACCTTAACAAAATATCGGATAAAATGAGAAGTAAATCTTAATTAAATATTACCAGCTAAAGCACGATGATTATTTTATTTTTATGTAAAATTTCTTACAGTCGATATATGATAAAAATAAAATAGTTTGACTTATTTTATAGACACAGTGCTTTAACTATGTATTCTCTAGTAAATCAGTAATAAAAGATAGATTGAGGAACTTTATAATTAGGACAATCGGATGGAAATATGTTAAATTCGTATAGCATCTATCTAACGTATATGATACATGCTTAAAGCAAAATTACATCAAGATCCATAGTATATACATCAGTTAAGTAGAAGTAATGTTTAGATTCTTTAAAAATCTATGCAACACGTTAAAATTTAATAATGTAGAATTAAAGTCAGTAATATCTGTACCTATTTTGTGACAGTTCTTTAATACATACTGTTATGTCTTTATGTCCGGCTTTTAATCACGTGATTTATCCGCCAATCAAAATACGACCTATACAATCTTAGCACTGTGCCAAACCAATGACGTTCCATCGGTATGAGCAGCCTAGTATCCTATGTCCGCCTAGCCCATCCACTTGAGTCCAAAACATCAATACCAGCTTCCACTATGCGAATCTAATCGAATCATTTATTTCAGACATACTGGGTTTATATATCAACCAAACAGAACGCAACGTACCATAAAATAAGAAATAACATTTGTACACAATAAAGCCAAAAAGTGGCTATGAATGTGGGAGGCAGTAGTCAATAAAGTGAACATAACTTAAGAACAGTAAACCGTACAATAATAAACTATAGGTCAAAATAAAACTTATAATAAAAGGAATATAAATATACATAATCTAATTATTGAATGGTTATATTGACAACTTATTTCCAATACAACTGATTATTTACCCATTCTATTTTTATCTTTTGCTAAAGGAGATCCAATGACCTTAAAATTATTTGAAATTAGTAGATGTTGTCAGTGTGAAGTACACATTATTAGGTAGTTATATTTTTTCGAATAGATTTATCAGCTGTGAAAAAATGAGGAATAAATTCAAAGTATTTCACAAACGAACTTACTACTCAATTCGATTACTTCTTGTTCTCCTTCTTCCTCCTCTTCATCTTCTGTATATGAATCACAATTAGCTTCATCTTCTCTTTCATATTCATCATAATCCCCTTCTTCCATGTAGTCTTCTGCTTCTCCTTCTTCAGGTACAGAACTTTCATTGTAAACAGTATCAACTTCCTGTTTACAAAGATCTTCTGTAGCGAATTCTGACGGCCTTGAGGTTGTAGGAACAGCATTGAATCTAATGTTATTATTGTTATTAACATCAAATGAGGAATCCTTTGAATCACTTTCGACATATTCATCATCCATGGATCCAGATTCACGTTGATCAGCATCGTAAAAAGCATCATTTTCCGAATAACATTCTTGTTCTTCATCAGAAGACTCGCATATCTCTTCTAGCGTACTTGATGTAGGTTTCATAGGACTAGTTAAATTTTGATCAGATGTTCGGACTTCAGACTCAACAACTTCAATATTCTTAAATACAATCAGTAAAATGAGGAAATATTATCATCAGCTAGCATTTAAAACTGAAAAACTGAAGGTAACTAACGAGAAACCCACAAGGTCAAACACAATAGTAGAGAAATATTCATCCTAGCACTAAATGTTGTCTTAAGACGTACAACTATCTACGTTGAAGTGACAAGGGTTGATTGATAATATGGAGGTGGTTAGATAGAGAACAGTAATAGTTTAATCAGAAAATATCAATACAGTTTGAAATAAATACCTATAACCCAAAGATTATATTTTCATACGGTATTCAATGTTCTCATCCATCAATGATTCAAAGTTCAGGTAGAGTTGTCGAATGTTACAGAATGTAAGGTAATTAAACAATATTTTGCTTGATACATTCGAAACTGAAAATAGCCACTTGAAACAATGGATGATAAAAGAAAACATTGGATGGATTTTATTGAATGTATAATTTATGTGTGAAAATATAAGTAAACTGATATTATTTTCCGCTCCAAATTAATTAGCATGTCGTTTTTAACCCTGATGAACATTTTTATTTACAACTGGTTGTTACTAAAAGCGTTTTTAGTCGGCAATAATTTACCTACATACAATGTGGTCTCCAAATAATTCTAAGAAAAGTTATATGGCCTGAAGGCAAGTTTTCTAATCTGAAAAGAGATCAATAATGGAAATGTTACATCATAACGTGTATGGTCAGATCTGCAGCTAAATATAAGCGCATTTTAATTATTTAATTGCGTCGGTTGGAAAATAGATACTGAAGAGTAGCATCCTTGCTATTTAAGAAACAGTGATGTTGGCCGACAGCTACTTTACAACAAACAAGGTAAATTCAGTAAACGGGAATATGGAAGTCCATGGTTCAATAAAGTGATAAAATAAAATCTATAACAAAAAATTTCTCAAGCTTACTTCAGTGTGACTATCCATCGTAGGTACATCAATCCCACCTCTTACATTTTCACCAAGCTCTTGTCTAGTAACAATATCAGCTGTAGCTTGTTCTATTTCTACACCGGCTTCATTTGATGATCGTTCCACACTTTCTGAGGTTTCAAATGTTCCAGGAGTTATGATACCAGCTACACCGGTAGCGACTGTCAGTGTACCTAATGTAGAGCCTATAACGATGTAGAAGTTAACAATGTGATTAAAATGCATGTTATTTCGTTTGATCATGATTATATAATAATGACCAACAAAACTGTAAATTAATATACTTGTTAAAATCTACGACAAAATATAAACTAATGATACTGTTACAGTGAAAAACCTTTACTCACTATCGACAAGATAAAACACGTATAGACTTATAAGCATCCTAACGAAATTCGAATTCTCATTAATTATTAGTGCACAAATACAGCACACAATAACTGAATAAGTACTAGCCACGACTTCCGAATAACCCGAGTGAAGTTGAGGAACGTGGTGATGAACTCAGATGACACTAAAACACTTGATCACCATTCTTTTAAATATTTAGATCCTAACTAGTTTCGTTTTCCGAGATATCAGTCTAAGGCACGGAAGAACATGCTTGTAGTGTATATTACACAAAATTAGAAGAGCTGTACTTTCAGTTAATACTAACCTTCACTCAAAAACTAGAGGAACTTCAGGGTAGATAACTGAATGTCAACTTATATTGCTAAATCACAATTTTGTTTAAGTGTACATCTTATTAAGTTAGATGGTCAATTTAGTTAAGCATAATAAACTTCACTTTAAAAATATATAGTTAGTTAATAAGAAGAATACATACAATAACTTAATAATATATCTTTTCTTTATCAGTTATTGTGAGAAATGCAAATGAATGAAAACGTATTGAGGATAACAACACACATGTAACTAAAAAAGTATCTCGATTAACGGTTTCGTAAAAAAATTGAGTCCAAGGAAACAAGCATCTGACTTACTACTGGCTTCTTGTTGTCCAGCAACTAAACGAGAAGCAGTTGCATGTAACGGAGTTGTAGCAGGTGCACTGGTACCGAAGGGTGATCTACCAAGGACAATTGGACTAGGACTTGCCTGGGTAAAAGATATTGATGTGCTGGGACCACTGACCACTGCCTGGCGTATACGCTTAGATTCAGAAGGAATAGAGCCAGGGTTAAATTGTTGCTGATGGAAATGGTTAGTGTTAATGGCAGACAAAAACGAGTTTTCATTATTTCTAGAAACTTCACTTGTTGAAACCATGTTATCATCTACTGGTGGTATAATATGAAGTATTGAGTCCACAGTACTGCTTGAACAACTTTCTTCGAATCGACGTTTTCCAGTTATGCTAACTGTAGTCGAACGAGGTGCTGAAGTTGGGACGCTGGAAGAACAAGCCGGAGTTAAAATGTTACTTTGAGGCTGATTAAGGATATTACCTCGGCGTAGAAATGTATTTCGCAATAGAGACGCAGCTATAAATGAAAACAAACAGTATGTTTTCAGCAACAAGTTGAGATGCATTTATTTTTACTATAAAATAAATCAAGGAATATATAGTCGTTCTCCAACTGCAACCGATAAACACAACGACAAATAGTCATTTCTCCAAACAATGGATGATAATTTAACGTTGGAGATAATACATTATATTAAGTGTAGTTTAACCTAAAGAAAAACCGTGTTTTATCAATCGGTTGACTAATTAATGATGTCAATTTAATAATAAAGCACAAATTCGTATACTCGACTTTGTTCAAATGTTATTTAGGTGAAAAAAAGTCACCTCAAGGTCTTTAATATGTCAGGTTCATAAATACTTGACTGTACAAAAGGAAAACATTATATTAACTGATAGTGATTAGTTTGCACATAAAAAACATACCATTCTGATCGCAAGACGTAAACAATGATGAGCTGGGACCTACAGTAGTATCAGATACAGGTGAACAAATTGCAATACTTGAGGGTCCACAAATAGGAACATTTTCTGACTGACCACTTGTTATCAACATCGGGACTAAATGATTTAAATAAAAAGACAGAGTAGGAATAAATTTTTTAAGAAGAGCAATGAACAAAAAAACATGAACCGATAAGAGTCAAACAACGGCAATACCTGATGATGGTGCTGGGGTTGGCATGACAGCAGCTACATTACTTGTGATAGGTCTTATTTCTGCTGTCTGTTTAGGACCAGCAAGTGAATTAGGTGGAGTAATAGCAGGTGTTGGATGGACCGGTTGTACAGTGGCTCCAGCACGCATAATCCAAGCAGGAATTGATTGAGATATGACAGAACTTGTAGTTTCCGTACTACTACCATCAGTAATGTTCAAAGAAGTGGGAGTTTCGAAATGTAACTGATTCCCTGTGGCTTGATTTGTTGGGGAAGCACCTAAAGCCAAAGCCCGTGATACAAATGTGTGCGTTATCTGAACACCATCTTGGGACTCGGATTCCTGCAACTAAATAAGAATTGTTGGTTTTTAATCATAAGCTTTCAAAAAATATTGATAAGCAACTACAATACGAAAAGAAAAACTCGGATAAACTGTAAAAAACATTATTGAAGAATATGTGTTAATTTAATGATTAATTCCAAAACAAATAACAAGAGAATCAACCATTATGATGTATAAAACCTATGCTTCAATAATTAAATTATTTACTACTACATATTGTAAGGTAAGAATAACGAACATTGGTGAGATGAAGTGAGTTCATCCTTTTGTGTGTTGAACCAAAAGAATTTAGTGAATTAAAGACTTACAGTTGATGCTGCAGGAGATGAGGCTCCACTGGTTTGCAAACATACTGACACAGTTTGAGGATGTACGCTATTTGATTGAAGCTCAATTAAACGAGCCCGAAGTTCTGTGCAATCTTTTTGAGATTTTGTCAATTGAGATTCTATAAGTTGAGTTCGTAGTAAACGTTCTTTTTGAGAATCCGAATGTTGTTGTAAACGATCGATCTCATTACATAAACCTGACAGAATACGACGAAATTCACTCACCACTTTTTGACCATTAGACATATTAGGATTTATTTCAATATCTGATCCTTCAACAGATGAATTCATAATTGTTATAACTGATTCTCTAGCCTAAACACAATTTTAAGAAGAATTACATAATAACTGTAAAAATAAACAAACAAACAATTTTAGTGATAGATTATTAGGAATTATTGAAAATGAAACATGTGAATATCACACCCAAACAATTAAAACCCTTATAGAAAACAGCAAGGAAAAACATTATCAATCTCACCTTCACTTCATCTAAAAACTGAAGAGCTTCTGTTACACTTGCTTCCAAGAGATCATATTCGGTACGTAAAGAAGAATAGTCAGAACGTAAAGTAACCAAATCCGCTTTAGCTTCAGTTAATGCTTCATTCGTAGTTTGAAGCTGAGCTTCTGTAATTGGGGGGGGGGGAATGCGATGAAAAATACATGGTTAATATAATTCTAAGTATTAGCTGTGTGAAAATAAGAATCAACTAATAATTAGTAAATATCATATGATATTCCCTAGATGATAACTTTCTCATCTTACAAAATTCAGTCCTTATCATCATAACCATGAACTTTTCTTGGATAGAATTAAGTTTCATTCAGGGGATAAAGTGTATAAAACAATTTTTAAAATCCAAAATCAACTGGGAGCAAGAGTGAATATATCTATTCAATAATGACCGATTCTGAACATTATTATCCAACAGTTAGAGACATTTTCTCTATTTAAGTTAACAAAGCCTTTAATGGGATTGTAGACGCATTCAACCAGATTGAAGTAGTACCTTTATTATTTATTTATTTATTTGAACACATAAATATTGGTACAAGAGAGCGCCAATATATATGCGCCACACAAAGTAGTACCTAGAAATTACGGCTCAAGTTTTTTTACATTTTGCAAAACAGGGTAGATCACCCACACAAAATACAAATTAATTAGAGCATTAATTAGTTATGGTTTGGTTTTTATACGAAGAATAAAACTTTTCAGTTAAGAATTACACTATTATCTCTTTATGTAATTAGTTAACCATATATCGACAAATGTGTGAACAACTTCATAAACGAAAAATTAATTTGTCTTAGTACTAATGAACGATAAGTTATGTATTTTATAATTTAATGGATAATAAAGTCATCAAAGTAAACAACTTACAAACACTAGTAATGAACAAACAAACAGATAGAATCATATTAAATTTAGCATAAAAGTTCATCCGAATTCCTAACATCATATTATATCGACAAAAAACTAACAAAGTTACAAAAATATTTCAATAAATAAGAGGCAAGATCTAAGTGTAATTAAGGGATAAAAAATGAGAGATCGAAAATTCTAATAACAATAAAATAATACTGACCATCTGATCTGCTATCATTGAGTTTTCGTCGTAATACCTCGGTTTCCTGACGATATTTTCGTCCGATTTCACGAAGTTTCATAATTGTTGTCTCTTTTGCACTTAAATCTTCTCTTAATAAATTTTCTTGAACACTAAAAAAGAATAAAAATGAGAATAAGTGGAAAATTTATTGTAAAAACAAAAGAACAACCCAATATTAAATGATATTGAAAATAAAGCGATAGTTTTAATAAAAACTTCGATACTATTTCATGTATCACATATATTGTGTTCTGAAACACACACTTAGAATGAATGTTGTTATTTTTATAAGTGATTACATGATGTTATCACTAATTATGTTTAATAAGGCGCTCACAATTGAAGGACAAAAAGAAATTACAGAATGCCTCAAAGTTATATTAATTTATTAACTTGGATTAGGTAAAAAGATAAATGAAACGATCAACGAGAATTACCTGAATGAAGAAATTTTCTGTTCAGCTTCCTGATATGAATTACGCGCACTTTCCAAAAGATCATTTAGCTTTTTTATTTGGTCATCTGATTCATTTTTTAATTCATATAACTTATTAGCATTATTTTGAACTTCTTCCTCAGCTCGATTTAATCTACGTTGTAATTCATCGCGTTCATTACTGTTAAATCATGAAGAAAGAATTGAATAATTAAGCAACTTAATTTAGAAATAAATTGCACTGTGGTATAATATTCGTGATTCATGAAAAATTTCAAATATAACAATGGTTCAAGCTAGAAATTTTATGTTAGGAGTCAAGAGAGTACAAAATGTCGATGACCCAATAAAAATTATATACATCAATAATATAACTACAAAATATAAATAACTAACCATGCAAGCCTATACTGTTCAGGATCCATGCGTTGAGCTGTTTCTACTAATCGACTACAACGCTCCTTCCAACGGTCACGTTCTTCTTCAAGTGATCGTTTGTCAGACATTAGAATATCTTTCTGAGCAGCCAAATCACTGTTGGACTGTTTTAATGGGCCAACTTCATCGTTCAATTTTGCAAGCTAAGAAAGAAATGGAAAATTAAGACTTTGTTACAATTAGTAGAAAAGAAATAACACTATTAGTTGTTTTAAGGAATCTCAGTGACAAATAACACACCTATATACATATTTTGGTTCAATATTTCATACAGAGTAATAGCTTTAATTTCCTAACGTATATTTATATGCTCAGTTAGGTGACTAGCAGTTTGATTAACAAATGTATCAACCCTGAGAACAAAATCACTATTTCCTGCTTCCTCAAAATATTATCCAAGCGGCTGAGAAGTCATAATGAGTTACATATACTGGAACCTATATAACTCAATTTCGTCTACACAATTTAATGGAAAACATTAAAAAAAGTAGGAATTCTTATCAACAAATGGTGCTGCCAATACTAATAAGAACTAACCTGATTTTCTGCATCAGATAACTTTGATCGTAAAACCTCTCTTTCATGACGCAGTAATCGATTAGATTCAGTAACCAAATTTAATTGTTCAACACGTTCCATAACTTCAGAGTGTTTACGAGCAGTTTCCATAGCTAATTCAGCAGCTTTACGTTCATTATCGATTTGAGATTGTAAATTTTCCTTTTGTGATTCCAAACTAGACACTCGCAATAACAACCGGGATACTTCAGCACTAGCAGCTTCATGAGCAACATCTGCCATGTTTTTCTGACGCCTGAGGTAACTATGAAAAATATTGAAAGTGTAAGGGTGCTTGGTTACACTTCTAATATAGCTAAGATAAAAAAGTTAAAGTTTAAAGCTTATGACAAAGAAAATTTCACAGAATTAACTAACAATAACATACCCAATAACTTGTAATAATTCCTCAGAGGTTTTTATATCTGAATTAATTGACTCGATATCTTGAGTGGAACTCATGCTGTCTTCAGCAGAAATATTTGATTTATCTAAAGATTTTCGCAATGAAACCATTTGTTGTGTAAGCTGAAATGGAAAAATGGAAATTTTGATGATACATAGTGGTTAACATTTACGAGGGAACATGTTACTTTTAAGTGGAAATAAACATTTCTGGATTTATGATTTAAAGTAATTACGCATAGTTTAAAAATCTAAGAAAACAATGAAGATTATTGGATATATATATATATAGCATATTCTGGAACTACCAAGTAAATGTTGTGACAGTTAAGTTTAAAATACTTGCTCAGAATATCAAATCACTAAATCTTTTTCATAAAGAAAACTTACACTTTGGACTTCTTTTACACTACTCAATAAATTATGCCTTTTATGATGTAGATTGTAACTTTCTTGAACTATACAAGTCCATAGGGATAGTAATAATTTGAAATGTAAACATAGTTGTACACTTATAAAAATTGATTTTCCGTTGACAACAATTCAACTGTGTAAATAATAATTTAACTGAATGGGGATTTGTGGAGACTGTAGTAATTTTAGCAGCTGAATTCACGAGTCGATCTAAGCTAGACCACCATTAGAAAACTGGAAGCACTCGACGGCCGTGTTGTCCTAGTACGGGACTCTTCAGAAGCGCGTAACCACTATCCCGTACGTGGGAATTCAACCCAGGACCTTCGATCTTGCTCCCGAACGCTTAACATCTAGACAAACGAGCGGGCATTCAACAGTGTCATTCTCTAACTCTGTGGATGCGCACTGCTAAATGCAAATTGTGAACCAGAAACAACAAATAAACTACTACTACTCAAACTGAGAAAATTGGTTACATTTCTACAGAAAATAAATTCGGATATCTATTAGGAAGTTGACGATACTTAAAAGATCACTTATCAAAAATGGTCAACACTATCAGCACCATAATAAAAGTAAAACCTGACACATGGCAACCGCTTCAAGTTGCCATACCATATTAGTACAGCGAGATAAAATTATTTCAAGACAAAACCTAGTATAGTAGAAGCAGTAACAGCATCAATAGTAGTAAGAAACACTAAGAAAAGAAAGAGAAAAAGGTGTATGGAGATTTTGAGACTTTTCTTCTAAAGAAAGATAAAGAATTAATTGACTTCCATTATCGCGAACGATTTTGAACCATGTTACCTAAAGTTCCCAACCACTGGTTACGACATCGCAACTGATACCAGATCGTTGGCCATAGTGACACTTGAGGAGGAAGTCAGAAGAGGAAGTATGGAGTTTAAAGTCGAGATAGGAGGAACAATAGGGATCGAAGAGGAAGATTGATTGTGAATATAGTGATCTTGAGTGCTGTTAGAGGTTTCTCCCCCTCTAAATGCGAATTGTTGCTTTAGCACTGGCCTACGTCAACACCTGAACTGAGGATAGAGAGTGAAGTAGTCGAACACGTCGACAACTTCACTTATCTTGGAATTCTGGTCGACCCTAATGGGTTGGTGTTTGACGAAATCTCAGTACGGATTCAAAAAGGTTGTTTGGCTTCTACCGATTTACGTCACCTATAGCGAAGGGGATTTATCCTTCTATCAATAAAAGGACGAGCATATTATGCAGCAGTTCGTTCTGTCCTACTTTACGGCTGCAAAATGTGGCCATTACGGGTAGAAGATGCACGTCAATTACCAGTATTTAACCACAGATGTCTTAGAAATATTGCTCAAATCTGCTGGGATCACCGGGTAAGTAACAGTGAGATTATTTATTTATTTATTTCAACACATAGATATTTGTACAAAGAGGCACCAAATACATATGCGCCACACAAATCTCATTCGATATGTGTGAGGGCTTTGATACTGCCCGGGTGCCCAAACCGAAACAACAGTGAGATTAGACGCAGGGTATTAGGGAATGATGGTAAATCAGTTGATAAGGTTGTAAATCTTCATCGACTGAAATGGTTGGACCACGAGTTACATATGCCTGGACATCGTTTACCACCACGCGCAATGCCGACCTGTGTTGGGGATGATTGGAAGGAAGTTGGGGTCGGCCAAACCAAAACGTTGCATCATTCCATAAAGTTATTAACTTATAGTCTTAGCCATGTTGGTAGATGTAGACTACTTGGTTGAGGTCCATGCGACTATCGTAACCAATAGTTGGAAACTCTGTGTGACATGGCTCAGTATCAATCACAATGGCGTAGGTATATTGTTATGTCCATATAAGAATAATGAATGGGATCCATTTATGGACCAATACTATGAGTATATTTTTATCGTATAATTGTAAATTAACTAAAATGTTCATATTCATGTCCCTTTTACTATGAGTTTTATTTTGACCTATGAACTATTATTATACGATTTACCATTCTTGATTTATTCCCTGTCTGTTAATCACTACCTCGCTCATTCACAGCCACTTTTGGCCAAATATTGTACAAATGCTATTTTCTATTTTATGCTACGTTGTGATCTGTTTGATTGGTATATAAATCCCGTATGTTTGAAATAAAGGATTCACATTGCAGAGGCTGAGATTGGTGTTCTGGACCCAACTGGCTGGGCTAGGCGGAAAGCAGAACCAATCAGGACTTTAGGCTGCTCGCACGTGTTTTATGCGTCACTGGTTCGGTCGATAGTTCGCTGCTCTCTGATTGGCGGTATCGTTGCGTTATACAATAAACAGGGCATACAGGTTCACAAGTTATAACATATATACACTCTTTGCCTGCCATTAAACCGTGAGATTAAAATCGTTTTATATCTTTCTTTCTACGAACTAATTCTTTCTTCCTGTATGATATCCTTATACACAGTCTTTCTTTTCTAAATTACTACCATTGAAGTAACTGCTTCTGTGAAATTGGTGTTCACCTTGTTGTATTATTGAAGTGTGCAACTTGGACCGATACATATATGTGCCTGGCCCTACATTGCAGCTGACTGATTGATACTAGATTGTGGATCTAATGCGTACAAAAATACTTGATATAAGTATCCGAAAAGAAACAACAAAACTAAATATAGCTACTAATTAAATAAATCTTTCAAATGAGACATGAATTCACTGTGAATAATAATAATCGTGAAAGTACGATTTTATGTATATAAGTAACTAAGTGAAAATATTAAATTTAACAAACATATCGATTTAATGAGAAGGACAAGTGTCTAGTAGTTAATATTCTGTGAAGTAAAAACACCATAAAGCGAAAGAATTAATTCAATACTAACTTGAATTATTTGATCTTGTAACAAATTCTGGTCTTCTTGACTTTGTTTCAATTGCCTGTTCAACTCCTGCTTCTCCGATTCCCATAACTCCATTTGAATTTTTAAATCAGTCATTGCAGTTTCTGCTTTCGATCTAGATTCATTTAATTCCTGTTCTAATTCACCGGAATGCATTTTAATAGAATCCAATTGTGAACGTACTGTTGTTAATAGCTGAAATTTATTATTATATAATCAGTTAGGTGTTAAAACAAAAAGTTCAAAAAAGTATGAAGTGTAGTAAAAACACATTCACTCAATGTGTACAACAGGGACACAAATATATTATAATTAGGCTAGATAACATTCATAAATCGAGATAATACCAACAGAATGATAAATTTTATGATGTTTCAAACATGTATTCTGCATTAAACAATCCATTGTTACTGTATGATTCGATATGGTCAAAATAGGATTACTGTACCACTTGAACGGATACTTTCTTACATATGAGAAAATCCAACTTCAGTTACCTGTGGCTGTGATGAGATCTGAGTCTACCGAAGAGAGGGCACACTGACTAAGTGTATTTTCTCAGCATCTGTTCTACATTGTCCAACAAAAGTGACTAGTGCCAAGGTTAGATGGAGGACACGCAGCAAAGACGATATATCAATTGATGAGGTACTGAATCTTCATTGATTGAGGTAGCTGGAAACATGCATTACATTCCACCTTGGATTGCCCAAACGTGAGATCCTGTTTGGCACGGAAGTGCCTCGAAAGGAAGCTACGGGCAGCTAAAACACGACGTGGCACCGGTCTATAAAGTGACTAATTATTAATCTGAACCTAGTAGATGCACACTACTTGCTTAAGGTCTTCGAAATAATCGTGATCAGTGGTTGGAGACATGACTTGGTATCTGCTACGATGGTGTAGATTATTTCATACCCTTTATTTCCCAAATTATTGTCCTGTTCTCGAAACACATACTCCAACTCTAGTTGTTTTTTAATATCAATGGTACTACTACTGCTAATTCAACTGTCTTGGAGTTTACCTTAATTTTATTTCGGTGTGCTGACATGGTGTACCAATTTGGATCCTACGTTGACTATGATTGGTACAAGAAGGATCGGGAAACTATAATTTAATGTTGGTTTAACTAGGTTGCCAAACTGAATTATGTAATAGGAAATATTGGAAACTTTCCGTTAGTGTCAGAGAGCAATATAACAATGAAAATTATTTCAGAAAATAACTTAAAAACAGCGAAATTCCTTATCTTCTGTCTTTGTCATAGGATTCTCTTTCCTCAAATTTATTTTCTTAACTTAATTCATGGAACGGGATGAAAATTCTCAACGTAGATCAAAATGATAAATGTGTACCTTATAAAATTATTAACAAAAAAATGCTAGATTGAACATTTTAAATAACTCCATTCAATGAATGTTACATCACAACAAATGCACCGATTTTTTATTTTTCAAAAATAGATATCTATAATCTTAGATTTCCTTCGAGGTTTTAAAATGATTTCCAAATACCAATTTGTTAACATCTAATGAAAGTTACAAAAAATGGAATTTATCATATGACTGGTAATTCTTACCTCCACATCGTGTGCATGTAATGTCAATTCACGTTCATATTTATCACGAGCTTCTTGCGCAGCCTGTTGATGACATTCTATTTGGGCCTTAGCACCAGCTTCTACTTGGAGAGCTGATTCATAACGAGTTCTGGAGCTTTCTAATTCATTCTGTAAGCTAGCCAATTCTCGACGTAAATCTGCATTCTAGTTTAAAATAAAAGAAAATGTAAGATAGTGTGCTGTGTTTAGATATGATATAATAAAGAAGAGCCCGGTTACAAAAAAGGGTACAAACAATGAACTCAAACAATATATTGACAAATTTCTAAGTTTAAAGTTAAATTTTTGAAAACATTTATGTATGTGTATCCCAATTTAAATTTCCCAGAGATATGAAACTTTTTTGATCTTATATGACAAAACGAACTAACACACACAATACAATTCTACTTTGATGCAATCAAGCAATTTTCTCTACCAATAAATTAATGTAAATTTAGCATAATCTAAAGACTGAAAATGTCGACATTATAGTAGGAAAAGTTATAAGGAAACTTACCAACTTATGGGCTTCTTCTGTAGTTCGTATATTTTCATTTACAAGATTTTGACGTTCTTTTCTTTCTAGATCTAGTTGTGCCTCTAAAAACTCACAACCTGAAAATCAAGCATTGAATTAATTTATAGACAGAATTATAAAACAGATACAGTGGTTAAAACCTGTTAAAATCTTACAAAACATGCATAATGAAGACTGGTAAGTAAGAAAAATTGTAAGTTTGCAAACAGTCTAAATGTGATCTGGATAATGAACAGAAAGGAAATAGCTCATAGGATATTCACTAGTTTATATATCCTCAACTAAGGATAACTAAGCATAATCCACTAACATTTACTAGCGCATTACTTGATAAATCGTGTACAGAAATCTCAAATTATGTTTTAATCAACATAAACCTGTTAGTAATAATCACACTTAGTAGCATAAATTTTGAACTGTGTTGAAATTACACATAGACAAAGGTGTTGCTTACGAATATCATTATTTATATACATACCTGTAACCCGGCCAAATGTTGCCATTTAGTCTAACAAAAGCATTGTTCTATGAAATTTTAAGTAAGATATATGATATTGAGCACATCAGTCAATAAGCACAAATATGAGAGAAAATACTTCAAGAGAAATGAATAACTATTGATTAAAAACTGCCTACTGAACTTACGCTGTTTAGTCTCACACATATCACGTGAAAAGTGCTCTTCCAGCCGTTTATTCTCTTCCACAATTTCATTGAGACGCTCTTCAGCTTGTTCAGCCAACGTTTTCATGCGATCACATTGCTGCCGAGATGACTCTAAACTGGATTTGAGACTTTCAATTTCATGTTCCAGTTCACGAACACGAATTTGAGCCTTTTTCGAACACTCAGGAGATGATTCAGATATACTTGGTTCCATATTGTCATCTGTTAAGGCAAAATAGGATTCAATTAGCTAGAATCCACGAACTCTAAAAGTTATTCAACATTGAAAAACTCATGATTAATAGACAAAGGCGTAAACAGAAATAACATTTCTCGCCAACTCGCCTAATAAAAGTTCAGACTTTTAGTGAGTCGTAACATCGTCTACATAGGTCTGCAATTTAATTCGACATAATAGTTGTAAGATTAACAACGTGCAACTTCATTCATCGTTTTATCCTTCAAATTAAGACCGTTACGAAGAACTTCAGTAAAATCCCAAAATTAATAGTTATTTTTCTAACAAAGTATATACGTTAATTCGTCAACAAACACACAGACCCTTCACAAGTGTTGAAAGGACAAGAGTTACCAAACTAGCTAACAGAGTGATCGACAGTCATTCACTTAAACTAACCACTATTACACATGTATCTTCACAAATCTGCTGAATGAATTCTCATTGTTAACATATTCAGTAAAAAAAAATCAGGATTAAATAAGTAAATCCAGCTGCGTTAGAAATGTAATGAGCTTTAGAGAGACATTAAAAACGTTGAATTATGTAACCACATAATCCATATAATGAGTATGATTTAAAACTTAGAAGCCTCACTAGCGCTTCTATTAGGAAAAACCATTGGTATATATAATATATATATAGAATGATATGGCTTTATCAAGTCTGAATCAAACTTTTACAAATCTGCCTATTCCAGCTACATACCATGAGATTTAACAGCTGCCAATCTTTCCTCTAAATCTCGTATCCGGGTATTTAATTGTTGAATTTCTCTACCACTAGACTCTACGGACTCACGAGAAAGGGCTAACTCGTGTTGCAAAGTTTGTTGAGCTATTTGGGAGGTCTTGGAAGCATCTATAAGAGCTGAATTGACAGTAGATAGTTGCTTCTCCAGCTGTTCAATTTTTCGTTCATTCAATGAACGATCCATTGACTCTCTTTGTTCGAGACTTCCCTGGTAAAGAGAAAAAAGAAATGTTAAACGAAGTAAAATGATTACAACTTAAAAATAAAACGGATTATGGGAAATTAATATAGAAAAAACAGTGAGAAAATATAAAGGCTTTATAAATTACTTGTATAGACTGAAGTTGATGCATAAGCTGAGAATGGATTTGATCATGGCGGCGTAATGAATCTATTTCTTGTTTAAGGCGAGTCTCATTAGCTCGCACTGCTTCCAACTGTCGCGAAAAATGTCTTGCATCCACTTCTGCTGTTGTGAGGCGATCAGATGCATGGGTTAATTCATCTCTAAGTCTTGATAATTCTGCTTCACTGGAGGCTGCAGAAGTTGAGTAGCGGGCATTCATTTCACGAAGGATAGTAATTTCTTGTTTATATCCAGCAACATTAGCTTCTGATGCACGCAGCTTTTCGTGAGTGAAATCAAGCTGCAAAAAAATGCAAATATGACCAATTATAATTCACCAAACTGTAGAACATTGATTTTATTGTCATAATCTGAAGTCCAATAGGTAAACAATGAAAACAATCGCATCTAAAAACTAACCGTTATCGTTATTTGTTTATTATAAATCCTTCACCACATCTGTTTCAACTAATAACTATCCGGTATATATATATATATATATATATATATATATATATATATATATATATATATATATATATATATATATATATATATATATATATCGTGAGTCCTAATTGTATTATCCCTTCAGTCTTGTTAAAACACCGTCTGTGGAGTTAGTGAGATATAAGGATGTTGATTATTTGATAAATTTATAGGTCACATGTTTATACAAATCTTTATTATTTAGACTTGGCTTCTTCTGACCGAATATACCGGATATATATATATATACTAAAACTTTTCAACCATTAAAATAAAGAGGAATTTTAGGCCAAGGAATGAGATCATGACTAAGGAAAAATCTTTTGTAAATTGGTCTAACTGATATGAAGCTATTTTTCCAGGTTTCATAAATCAGTTTTATTTGCTTTCTAATGTAGAATACTTACACGACCTGCCACTGAATGCGATAAGATGATCAATTAGTATTTCCAAATACTCTTAGTTATGTTTTATTACATTACTTTCTTATATTCCAGCCGATACCAGTTGCCACGCACAAATGCTTTACTTGATCAAGAATTATCCAACCATCTGTGAAGCAATAACATAAAATTAGTACTATATATGTTTTTTGTGATATCTCAATGAGTAGGAAATCGTATTTCTGACGTTTCGTAACTTAATATAAGCCATTACTTCAAAGTACATAAATAATTTGATTTAATTCGGTTTTTTATTCACTTTGAAGTCACGTAACGTCAGAAATACAATTTTCTACTCACTGAGATATCACAAAAAAATATATTTATTATCAACTCTCTACCCAATGCTCAATTTATTTGGAACCATCAAGTCAAACCTTGATACTGATACCTATAACATAAAATTAGGTTTCTGAGGCATATGATTACATGTGAAGTGTACAAATATTCACTAACTTGTGAGCTAAGTTTCTGATTTAAAAGTCGAGCTTCGTTGTATTCTCTTCGTAGACTATCGACTGTAGTAGTATATACATGATCTGACTCCAACTTGTCTTCCCGATAACGTGCGAATTCCGCCTGTAACGAGCTTAGAGCACCTTCTAGACGCTCAATAACAGCAGAGGATCCATTGCTGGGAGGAGAACCCTTACCTACAAAAAATATTAAAAAACAACCAGTGGCAAACTGTTGAAACAATCCTAAGGTATATGGAAAATGGCACCTCTAAGCGAGGATCATTTGGTGAAGTTTTATTAAATATAAGCCTGACTATTGTAGAGAGCAGAATAAAAACTTACTTGGAGTCTTATTATTGACCATACAGCGACTTAGCGGATTAACATCATCTAAAATAGACTCTTGACTCTGAGCAGAACTAAGTTCTTCTTTATCAGATAAGTCGATGTCATATTTTTTCAATAAAGCACGATATTGGTCACGTTGCTGAGAAAACATGTTTGCCTCTGTTCGTGCTTCACGAGCGGCTAAACGTACAACGTCCAATTCACCAGATAAAGTTTCAACACGAGAAGACAGCTCAGACATACGCTTAATTGTGTCCAAATCTTCTTGCTCGTGTTTTTCTAGCTGGGCAGCAAGATCACGAGCAACGCAGAGCAGTCGTTGATTTTGAGACTGTAACTCATTTAAGTTTTTCCATGTGACAAGATGATCATCAATAATCATTGCAGAGGAGGCTAGATTTTCCAACACGCTTGAAACATTGGTTATATCCACTGAGCTATCTGGAACTGGATGATCGTCAGGTTCGTTTGAATCCCTTATGTCTGACTTGGCACAAAAATCTCCTTCATTACGAATAACAGTCCCCCTAGATACTTCAACTTCATACAACAGAGACTTCACCTGTAAAGAAGTCATAGAAAATGTCAGGTTTAAAAAAGGCTTAAACAAACTCAAAATAAATACATGGTAAGAATGGGATGAATATATAAAATTGCTTAGCAGCCAAAGAATTTATATTATTGTATCCCTGGGTAAATATGCTGTTCAGTGTTTGTAGACCTACCTATCATTTTAGCAGAAGTTTTAAAATAGTTAGCTTGGAATGCGGCTTTAGTGGGTCTAGGAGCTTTTCGAAATTTAGATAATTTCTGCAATTCAATACAAAGATCACAGTAGTAGTTTAGGCTGCTTGGATATTTACTGGTATTTTAAAAATATGATCACCTCAGCCTGCAGTTCTTCTAGAGTCCCTGCCGGTCCCAAACCCGGGTAAAGGAGGAGGGTTGGGCATGGAGATGGCAACCCTATCCCGTAGAAAAAAATCTTGCTAGAAAAAACGCCAACCAGGTTAAACAAATTAAAACATTTAAGCTCTGCCCTGGGAGTTGAAGGAAGAATTATGTCGCCTCATGGCGAAATCTGAGATTCATCGGAATTCACGAGGCCGACGTGCCTTCTAACAACCAGAGCAACAATTTTTATAGGTACATGGAACGTCCGAACAATGTGGGAGACTAAGAAAGCAAGTCAAATAGCAACGGAAATGGGAAGATACAAATCGGCAGTACTGGGAATTAGAAAAACTCATTGGACCCAAGCTGGACATTAAAGGTTAAATACGGAAGAGATGCTGCTATACTCCGGCTACGAAGAAGAAAATGCTCGACACACTCAAGGAGTTGTTCTAATGCTGTCCAAAGTAGCACGAATGCACTTGTAGGATGGGAATCTCATGGATCCAGAATCATCAAAGCATCATTCAAAACAAAGAAAGAGGGGATCACAATGAATATTATCCAATGTTATGCACCCACCAACGATAGCAACGACGACATTAAAGATCAATTCTATGAGAGGCTGTAGTCAATCATAGTGAAATGTCCAAGAAAGGACCTCACCATTCTGATGGGAGATCTAAACGCCAACAACACCGGATATGAAGATATTATGGGGCGACATGGACTGGGACAGAGAAAGGAAAATGGAGAAAGATTTGCAAATCTATATGCATTCAACAAATTGGTTAAAGGTGGCACAATATTTCCACACAAACGTATACACAAGGCTACATGGATCTCACCGGACCACACTACAGAGAACCAGATAGATCATATTTGCATCAACAAAAAATTCCGAAGGACAATGGAAGATGTGAGAACCAGGAGAGGTGCTGACATAGCTTCAGATCATCACCGGGTGGTGGCCAAGATGAAACTGAAGCTAAAGAAGAACTAGACAACTGGACAAATAGCAATACAAAGGTTCAATACAGCCTTCCTTCGAGATACTAACAAGCTCAATGAATTCAAGATAACTCTCAACAACAGGTTCCAAGCCTTACACCATCTACTGAAGAAAGAAGAAATTACCATGGAGGACAACTGGGAAGGTATCAAAGAAGCATTAAATTCAACGTGTCAAGAGGTTCTGGGCCGCAACAAGCATCATCATAAGGAATGGTTCTCCATAGAAACACTGGACAAGATAAAAGAAAGGAAGAACAAGATAGCAATTACCAACAGCCAAACATGAGCAGAAAAAGTCCAAGCACAATCTGAATACACAGAAGAGCATTAAAGCCGACAAGCAGAAATACGTAAAAGAACTAGTAACGACGGTGGAGAAAGCTGCAAGAGAAGGATATATGAAGCAACTATATGATAAAACAAAGAAACTAGCAGGGAGATACAGTAAACCGGAGAGACCGGTCAAGGACAAAGAAGGCAGGTCAATCACTGAAATTCAAGAACAGAAGAACAGATGGATAGAGTACATTGAGGAACTCTTGAATAGACTACCCCCATTGAATCCACTGGACACCGAAGTAGCACACACAAACCTTCCTATAGATGTCACTTCACTAACGACAGAACAAATCAGGATGGTCATCAAATAAATCAAGAGAGGGAAATCAGCAGGACCAGACAATACGCCAGCTGAAGCACTAAAGTCGGACAGAGAATTAACTGCAAACATGCACCACATTCTATTAAGAAAGATCTGTAAGGAAGAAAAAGCGTCGAAAGATTGCAAAGAAGGATACCTCATCAAAATACCAAAGGAAGATCTGGGCAAATGTGAGAACTACATAGACAGCACACTACTCTCAATACCAGGAAAAGTTTTCAACAGTGTTGCTGAACCAGAAAGATTTGGTAGACGCTCAGCCTCGAGATCAACAAGCTGGATTCGGTTGTGCACAGACCAAATTGCGACACTATGGATCATCATCGAACAACCAATTGAATGGAACTCGTCACTATATACTAACTTTTGTGACTATAAGTAAGCAATTGACAGCGTGGATAGGAGAACGTTATGGAAACTTCTTCGACGCTACAGAGTTCCTGAGAATATCATCAACATCATATGGAACTCATACGACGGACTACAGTGCAAAGTTTTGCATGGAGGACAGCTGACAGATGAATCTCAAGTAAGAACCGGAGTCAGACAAGGCTGTTTACTCTCCCCGTCCCTCTTCCTTCTTGTGGTTGACAGAATTATGAAGACCTCAACATCTGAGGGAAAACAAGGCATACAATGGACAGCTCAGAACCAATTAGATGATTTGGACTTCGCAAACGACCTGACCCTCTTATCGCATACACACGAACAAATGCAGATGAAGACAACTAGCGTAGCAACAGCCTCTGCATATGGAACATATGGAACTCAAAACAACTGTCAACCAATATCAAAGTCAGAATCTTCAATGCGAACGTCAAGGCGTTTCTACTGTATGGAGTTGAAACTTGAAGAACTACAACAACCATCATCAAATATGGTACAAGTATTTATAAACAATTGTTTATTCAAAATACTCGATGTCCATTGGCCGGATACCACCAGCAACAGTCTACTGTGGGAGAGAACAAACAAGCGTCCAGATGAAGAGGAAATTAGGAAACGACGATGGAAATGGATAGGACATACATTACGCAAATAATTAAACTGCATCACGAGACAAGCCCTAACTTGGAATCCTGAAGGGATGCGGAAAAGAGGAAGGCCAAAGAACACTTTACGTCGGGAAATAAAAGCAAATATGGAAAGGATGAATAACAACTGGAAGGAGCTGGAAAGGATTGTCCAGGACAGGGTTGAATGGAAAGTGCTGGTGGGAGGCCTATGTTCCTCCACGAGTAACGAGCGTAAATAAATAAAAATATGATCGGAAGATATCTTGAAATTCCCTCGGATTTTCTGAAAAGAGCTCTTACTCAACCGCATGAAACAGAATCAGTAATGTTGGAGATCCCTAATTAAATGAAAACTAACGTAATTCATCCATTTTTGTTCGGAAAGTTTTGCAGAAGACGTACGTGACCAGGAGTTCGTAAACTTCAATTAATTTGTAGTAGCAATGATATGAAAGTACTGAATAAGACGTATAACAACAGGGTCATCTGCTTACTTGTTTGGATAGATCGGAGCACGTTTGTTTAAGTCTACTGGTCTCTCGATGGTAAAATCCAGCACGTCGCTCACTCTCTCGCTTTTGCAACTGCGCTTCTTCTAACTTCTTCGCTGTACATTGGTAACAAGACGTAAGCTCTTTCAACTCCGTTTGTAATTTCCGATACTCTTCTTGCTGGCTTCGTAGGAGAGGAGCTACAGTAATGATATGAAGGCAAAATGACAAAAGTACATCACTAAAAAATTCTAAAGTGTAAAAACATTGAACAATGTAAATAACAGAATAGGCTAAAACCTTTTGATATTTGTCTGAGCAAATGAGATTCTCTTTACGCTACCAGTCATCGACTGATGGACTGATTACTCCCAATCAAGAACTTTTGATATGATTCTTAATCTAGTGGTAACCAGTCTTTTGAAGACCTGAAGTATGAGCACAGCTAAATCTCATTTACCATGTGCCTTAAAACATCATGTTACCACAGTTGTACAGTGTAACGTTCGATTTCGAACTTAATACACTAGAGAGAAATTACTGGGGATAACCAATCAAACCTCATGTTTATCCATCACATTCCCATCTTTACGTTACATAGGTGTCAGAATCGCTGTTAAAAACTAGTAAGAGTTTGTAAAGTTTTGTTGTAACCTCATGGAAACTTTGTCTTATTGGAAAGTATAACACTGCAGTCGGTAACCATTATCTATAACGTCATACCTCTTCAATTTTCATTTCATTGAAAGAGTACATAGTTGGGCTATATTTAGATTCCCGACATCTAAGTGACAAATGCTAACCGTATTGGCTTCACCTTAATTCAACCAGGAAAATATGGTTTATAAGGTTATGTGATTTGTATACATTACGATTACCAAGTAAACGCAAAATTTATAAGACGCAAATATAAGCGTATTTAGAAAATTGACCTTTAAGTACGATAACAATTCATCATTATTGAGGGGAACCGTTAGGTTAATCTTATATATAGTACATGACGCGAGTCAGGAATGCAATGTCTGGCAGCAGAAGATGGGGGAAGATCAAGAAAGCAAGAGCGGGAACATAATGCAATTTTTATGAAAATGCAAGGACAATGAAGTCTGAGGCATTTTGAAACAATTTGTGGACATTATGCAAATTAACGATTTGATATATGGTTCTCAGATTTTATTGAGATACTCTGGAATTTTGTATTAAATACATTCGATTGTCCCCACCCGTGTTCTATTCACTACACTACTATGCCAGAGAGGTTGTTTGAAGAACGCTAAGACTAAACTCAGCAACTTAAGGGTCCGAGAGCGAAGTCGCACCGATGACTGTAGAGGGGAGTGACAACATTAAGGTGTTTCTCCCAAAGCAGTTGTGCCTTGGGTCCTGCAGTCACGCTCCCAGGTTGCTAAGACCACAACCAATCCAGCTTCTTTTTAGGTCCCCCAAGAACACATCCTTCTACGGTGTTGGCAATCAGGAAGTGAAATTCTCGTTCATATCTCTATCAGCATTTGAGATCATCTGGTTGACGACCGAATTCATCACTCACCTGTTAATAACTCTTCCACCTCCAGAACTAATTCTTCTCATCTATCTTCATTACAACGTGACACCAATGCCAGTGATTTGGGTTCGTGAAATGTTATTCCTGGTCTCCAGTAACCCCATTCGAAACATGTTGGAGCTATTAATGTTCGAACCTTGTGTCAGATAAGACAGCAGGCCTTTTTAGCTAGGGATCTAGAATCTCGTGCCATCTATGTATGCTGAGTTTCCGAAACGCGCGTACAAGATTGAGGTACGGTCATTCATTTGACTTCACCTCGTCAATATAAAGAACCGACACGATTTACCCTTCTAGTATCTGAAGACCCCACTGCTACTCCTCACGTCCTCGCTGATGTAGGTACAACATGAAATCTTGAAGCAGAACAGTCCCTGTTAGACTGGATTCCAATAGACAGTCGCTTGTGTGCTATTCGACGAAACGAAACAGTAAAATAGGGATACACTCTGTTGCCTATTATTTTTACTTGTCTACACTTTCACAGATTGCAGCTCGGACGAAGTTAAAGATGGATTTTATACGAAGCTATCTAACCTCCTTTAATAAGTTAAGCACTCAGATCTAGTAATATTGTAGGGTGATTCTAATGCTCAAGTACGTAAACCAAATCGAACCGGAAAGCACTTGGGCAGATCGTAAAGCGCTGAGACTCAGCAAACAGATAATGACGACCGTCTGTTGCAACTAAGCTCAGATAATTGTCTATTCCTAGAAAACACCAAGTTTAAATATAATAAGAAACACTGTCTAACGTAGCGACCCCTACAATCGACCCAACAATGGTCTCAAATAGGCCACATTATCATCAGCTACCGTTTGAGAGGAGTGACACAATACTGTTGCTCATTCCGCAGTGTATGTTCAGACACGCATCATGCTCTAGTTCAAACACATATTTGTCTGCATATTACTGGACGTAGAAAAGCCACAGCAAGAAAACCCCACAAATTTAAACTCAATGGCGAAAAAGTAAGGAATATATTTCACGAACAGTTAGACAATCGAATTATTAAACCGTGAAAGTGATATCCACCTCGAGGTAACTTGGTGTGATATAAAGAAAGCTATGCAAACAGCAGTGATGTCTACAGATAACTTAAACATAAAAGTTGGAAAAATTTAGTGGATTTCAGCGGTCCTCCTGAACTGATAAATGCTTTGGATCTCATCCCATCTGGCTCTAAACACGATGAGGAGGGGAGGCAGCTTAAACGTAGGCTGACAAAAAGCTCACGTAATGATCGTAACAGTAGTGGGTAGAGAAAGCAGAAGAGAGAGGAAAAGGTAGCAACGATAAGTAAAAGCTAACAACTGTTCAAACTTATCAAGGAAACGGGAATTGAAAATTCGATTGTTAGTGAAACTACCTTGAAAAAAGACGGGCCTACTATTCACTCTCTATCCAGGATATTGCACCGATGGACAGAAAGCTTTAGGAAACAGTTCGACTGGTCTTCAGCCATACTTCAATTATCCACTATCTCGAAGAGACCTGAATGTTAAACTGATGTAAGACCCCCAACTCTTAGCGAGATTAGAAAGGCCATAAGTAATCTAGAGCGAAAGACAGTAGCAGCGGTTGATGAACCAAACTCTGGGATTTTTAATGATGGTGGTCCAGTTTTTGAAGTTAGGTTGACTGAGATCTTAGTTAAAACCAGGGAACTGGACGTAACCCCATCTGATTGGTTTCGATCGCTGATCGTCCCAGGTTGTAAGGAAGTGCAAAACTCCTTTTGTGACAATCACAGATGAGTCAATTTAACTACTATTGTAACTAAGATTTTATCTTCAATAATACTTCGACGTCTAACTAAAGCTCGTGAGAAGCAAACTGAACGTGGACGTTTAGATCAATTATTCACCCAGACTTGATCTTGACCTCTAGACCCCCAAGCCGGCACTCGTGAGCGAAGCCGAAGGTCCTGGATTCGAGTCCCGCGTGTGGGATCGTGGATGAGAACTGATGAGGAGTCCTATACTAAAACGAAACGGCCAGTCAGTGCTTCCAGGTTTTTAATAGTGGTCTAACATTGATCGGTTAATGATTTCAATGGATTTTAACAATCTCCACAACCAAAAACTGAAATTTTTAGTAGAATGATTAGAAATGAACTTGTCCGTGAAAAAATTAATTTAATAGCATTTCCTAGATCTTTGAGATCGAGCGAATCCTTGAGAAACAGGTGGTCAATCATTTTAAATATGATAATGTTTGAAGTTAAAATTGAGTGTGAAAATTATGCAGAGATCAAAGTCGATATTTCCAAATAAAGCTACGATAAGGACGCCACCGAGATGTCCGTGTACATATCACAGGGTGAGTAAGTAACCTGCAGTCTTCCCTATTTAATTTATGGTTGTGAAACATAGGCTTCAAAAGTAGGGGGAATGCATAAGTTGCCAGAATCTTTTTATAGATATCTTCAAAGTATTGCTCACCAGAAGTGGAACTACGGAGTAAATAATGACAAAGTTAGGGCCGTTGTGATTAACTATGATAACAAAAAGATTGACGAGGCTATTAGTCATCGGTAGAGATGGCTTGAACACGAGTAACATATGTCTTAGCTACATACTCTGATGCTCAAAGTTGACTGATTTAGGGTTAGGTTGGCAGAAAGCTAGAGATGATTAAAGCAAGATGTAGTATCAGTCCATGAAATTGATGACTGTTGGTTTGGACTGTGTGGGGAAGTATAGACTTCCTGGTTAGAGTCTGTCAGTGGTAGTATCGTACATGTATTCATTATTCCTCAAAACCTTCAGTTTTGATATTATCCTATACTTTCAATTCCTTAATTTTAATCATTTTTCAAACTTCGTTCTCCATATTTAGTTTCGTACTAACTTTGATATTAACATTAACTTAAACGATTGGTTTAAATTTCTATCACATAAGATTTTTCTTATAATTACTCCTGATTGACAAAAGTCTACAATTCATAAACAAACGGTTAAACACGAAATCGTAAAAGTGACGTGCATACTAAATTGCACCCACGGTGGAGTATCTTTAGATATACCTAAAATGATACGCGGTATCTGGCTAGGGTAAAAAAAAATAGGATACCTTTTTCTTTGAGTTCATCGACCATCTGTTCCACATACTCCGTCAATCGTTGTTTATCAAGTTTGAGCTGGTCTCGATCTTCAACAACTTGCACATAATCTGTATACAACTGTGTTAAACTATGTCCACGCTTTAAAGCGCTCAGCGTAGCGGCCACAGATGGGTTAAGCTGACGTAACTCTTCCTCAGATAGACCTAAAAAAGTAAAACACGTGTATTTATTATTAAATCGTATTCAGAAAACTGTAACTACAGAAAACATCACATAATCATCATAAATTTTCCCGACAATAAAGACTATTCATGTAAAGAAAACGGACCTGAAACACCAAGCTTAGTCACGGTATATGGTAGCAAAATGTTGACTTCTAAATGATGCGGAAAAAAGACACAATTTAATATCAACCTCTTGCAGATCTAGATATGACGAAACCATCAGCTTAAAACGAAGGTTTGATTTGCATTTGCATCAGATGAAATTGAATTATACCTGGAATGTTTTTCCATTAACTTGCATGTCAAGAAATAATGTCAAACCGAGGGTGTCACTTATGGTTTTGAAACAAACATTATTTTACAGACAATACACAACTTATTAATGCACAAGTGTACGCAAACTTGCGAGAAAATCGAAGTAAAAATATTGTGAGGAAAATGGTTATAATGCATGCCTACCAGCTTCATTACGGCCATAAAACCAAGCATCAAATGGTATCCTTAGAGACACCCCCGATATAAAAACTTCAAGCCCACGCAAACTAATGTTGTTGATCAGAAAAAATAATAACACAAAATGACTTGCTACTCTTTTAGTGCCAAAAATTTGCATAAGCACATACTGTAAGTTGGGTTGAGCAAATAAACTTAAAATGCCAGTTATTTATTTATTTATTTTATTTGAACACATATATATTGGTACAGGAGTGCGCCGAATATATATGCGCCACACAAAACAGTGAGAATCTAAAAAGAGAAAAAGTGAGGATCGTAAAAAAAAAGAAATAATAATAATAGTAATTAAAAAAACAATAACGAAGAGATTGGTGTAAGGTAGTGTAATAATAATAATAGCAATAGTAGGGGAACAAAAAGGTACAATCAGAAGAAATCTTTCAGTTAAGGAAGATACAACCACTTTTTATGAAGAAATTAAAAAAAGGTTACAGCAGGATCGCCACTGGCTTCTATTCTGAGCCATATCTGATAACGTTTCTAGCCACTGTGTAGCACCATCTCCCGGACCCCAACCAGGGAATCGTGAAGGACCGACACAAGCCAATCCTTTGCAGCTTTCTTTCATACCACGACACATGTCATAAACTGACCACCTCTCCGCTTTTTCCAACCAGTCCCAGTGTCGGCAAATAATGCACGATGTGAAATTCTCTGGGACGACATTCGTAGAATATATCCAAGCCACCGAAGTCGATACTTCAAGACGGTGACACCGATTGCATTATCATCTCTGTGCCCGAACACACGATGCCGAACCTCTACATTACCAGTGGTAGAATATAATAACTTGAAAACAAGCAATAGAGCAAAAATTCACAATATCACTTTTGTATGAACTCAAAATCACTTGTCTGAGTACCTAGAAATAGGCTAGTCTCTATATATCTGAAGTGGGAATAAATGGTAAGCACTGACTTAATAGTATAGCAGTACCTAAACTTAATGTGATATGGTTAGAAATTAATCGTAATGGTGAAAGTATATTCACCTCCCAGCTTTATCTTTTAAGTTCTAAATAACTCATTCACCAGGTACTTGGGTATTAGCCGCACTAAGTGTGAAGGTTAATGATACTACTCGGTTGTCCAAACTGGAGTAGGTGAAGCTGAATTCGAACCTGAAACTTACTGGTTAAACGTCGGATATATTAACAGGTAAATCAGATTTATCCAGATCTTGAAAATATCTTCGTATATTTACGACCTCTATTAACCGATATTTTTGTTCCTTTTCTGAAATAACCCGTACCTTCTTCTGAGAGACGACATGTGGCGACCCACAATAGGACCAGGCACATACATGCGTCGGTTCAAGTTGCACACTTCATTAATACAACAAGGTGAACACCAATTTCACAGAAGCAGTTACTTCAATGGTAGTAATGTCGAAAAGAAAGACTGTGTATAAGGATATCATACAGGAAGAAAGAATTAGTTCGTAGAAAGATATAAAACGATTTTAATCTCACGGTTTAAGGGCAGGCAAAGAGTGCATATACATACGCCACTGTGATAGATTCTGAACCATGTCACACAGGGTTTCCAACCACTGGTTACGATAGTCGCATGAACCTCAACCAAGTAGTCTGCATCTACCAACATGGATAAGACTATAAGTTAATAACTTTATGGAATGATGCAACGTTTTGGTTTGGCCGACCCCAACTTCCTTCCAATCATCCCCAACACAGGTCGGCATTGCGCGTGGTGGTAAACGATGTCCAGGCATATGTAACTCGTGGTCCAACCATTTCAGTCGATGAAGATTTACAACCTTATCAACTGATTTACCATCATTCCCTAATACCCTGCGTCTAATCTCACTGTTACTTACCCGGTGATCCCAGCAGATTTGAGCAATATTTCTAAGACATCTGTGGTTAAATACTGGTAATTGACGTGCATCTTCTACCCGTAATGGCCACGTTTTGCAGCCGTAAAGTAGGACAGAACGAACTGCTGCATAATATGCTCGTCCTTTTATTGATAGAAGGATAAATCCCCTTCGCTATAGGTGACGTAAATCGGTAGAAGCCAAACAACCTTTTTGAATCCGTACTGAGATTTCGTCAAACACCAACCCATTAGGGTCGACCAGAATTCCAAGATAAGTGAAGTTGTCGACGTGTTCGACTACTTCACTCTCTATCCTCAGTTCAGGTGTTGACGTAGGCCAGTGCTAAAGCAACAATTCGCATTTAGAGGGGGAGAAACCTCTAACAGCACTCAAGATCACTATATTCACAATCAATCTTCCTCTTCGATCCCTATTGTTCCTCCTATCTCGACTTTAAACTCCATACTTCCTCTTCTGACTTCCTCCTCAAGTGTCACTATGGCCAACGATCTGGTATCAGTTGCGATGTCGTAACCAGTGGTTGGGAACTTTAGGTAACATGGTTCAAAATCGTTCGCGATAATGGAAGTCAATTAATTCTTTATCTTTCTTTAGAAGAAAAGTCTCAAAATCTCCATACACCTTTTTCTCTTTCTTTTCTTCAGTCAGTCAGTCAGCTACAACGTAGAACCATGCACTTATGTGCATCGGTCCAGGTTGCCATACCGCATCAGCACAACAAGATGAACACCGGATTCATAACAGTGGTTAGGTAAAAGGTGGTAATATATAAGAGAAAGATTGCATATAGAGATATAGTACAAGAAGAAAGAATTGGTTAGTAGAAAGAAAGATATGAAGCGCTTTTAATCTCTTAGTTTAAGGGAAGAAACCGAGTGTATACACCGACGCCATTGTGATCGATTCTGAGCCATGTCACCAAGAGTCTCCAACCATTGGTTACGATAGTCACGCGGACCCCAACCAAGTAGTCTGCATCTACCAACATGGCTCAGACTAGAAGTTAGTGACTTCAAGCACTGATGCCACGTTTTGGTTTGGCCGCCCCTAACTTTCTTCCAACCATCCCCAACACCGGATAGCATTGCACGTCGTGGTCTTTTCTTAGTGTTTCTTACTACTATTGATGCTGTTACTGCTTCTACTATACTAGGTTTTGTCTTGAAATAATTTTATCTCGCTGTACTAATATGGTATGGCAACTTGAAGCGGTTGCCATGTGTCAGGTTTTACTTTTATTAGGGTGCTGATAGTGTTGACCATTTTTGATAAGTGATCTTTTAAGTATCGTCAACTTCCTAATAGATATCCGAATTTATTTTCTGTAGAAATGTAACCGATTTTCTCAGTTTGAGTAGTAGTAGTTTATTTGTTGTTTCTGGTTCACAATTTGCATTTAGCAGTGCGCATCCACAGAGTTAGAGAATGACACTGTTGAATGCCCGCTCGTTTGTCTAGATGTTAAGCGTTCGGGAGCAAGATCGAAGGTCCTGGGTTGAATTCCCACGTACGGGATAGTGGCTACGCGCTTCTGAAGAGTCCCGTACTAGGACAACACGGCCGTCGAGTGCTTCCAGGTTTCTAATGGTGGTAGTAGTTTATTTGCTGTTTCTAGTTCACGATTTGCATTTAGAGGGGGGAAAACGCATCCCGAACATCCTGGCATTGTTGCTCAGTGCTACCGGAAGACTATGCGTTTTATCAGCGTCTTCACCAAACAGGACTATTACAAGTCAATATGTGGACATTTTGGTATAAGACCAATTCCTGAAAATCCAGTTTACAAGAACGCTATTTCCAGCTGTAGGTTTATAATGAAATTAAACAGAAATGGAGATAGTGGACAGCCTTATCAGAAACCACTTGAGGTTGCAAAATCAGATGACTCGACTGATAGTGTCCGAGTAAAGAGCCTTCACAAGGCTTATGTATTTCTGAGGTACACCTTTCAATGACAGGCAATGTCACAGAACCTCTCAGTCTACACAGTCAAATGCTGCTTTTAATCCAAGAAAAACCATCACTGTCGAACGCCGATAAGCATTACTGTGTTCTAGAACCTGACGAATGGTGAATGTGTGGTCGATGCAGTCACGACCAGGTCGAAAGGCAGCCTGATTAGCTCGTGTTTGCACTTTGCGAGTCTTTGTTATGCTTCCGATAATTATTGACACTAGCATTTTAGACGCTCTATTAGTCAAGCTAATCCCTCTATGGTTATCAGAGAATGATTTCGATCCTTTCTTATATATTGGGTCAATCAGTGATCGCGACCAGTTAGATGGAATTACATTCGGTCCCCAAATTTTAGATAAAATATTGGTCAACCTAATCGCTAAAACTAGACCACTGTCCTTAAAGACCTTTGAAGTTAATCCATTTGGACCAGCTACTCTTCATCGTTTCAGATTAGCTATAGCTTTCTGAACTTCAGTTACAGTCGGAGGTCTACTTTAATGTTTTATTCAGGCTGTTTGGAAATGGTGGGTAGCAGTAAAGTAGCTGAAGACCAGCTGGACCGCCCCCCAAAGTGTTCCACCCACCGTTCCAAACGTCTCGATGGAGAGCAAATAAGTGTCGTCTTTTTCAGCGATTGTCTCACATTTGACGTCTTAATTTCGGTTTCTTTTGTTGGTCTGAAAAGCTGTCTTGTGTTACCTACAGCCACTGAGTTTAAACATGTATTTCAGAACGAGCGGCAATCTATCGAGCCAAAAACTTTTCGAAACCGTTTGAAGATGCACTTTATTTGAATGAACCCCAATACATGATAATAAATAAATTGAGAAACACTGTAACCTATACTATCTCTCATTACTGCAATTAATACTAATAAGTATATGGAATCTTTGAGTCAACCTACGTCGTGTAAACTGACAGTTCTGAGGACTTAGGTCTTTCAAAATAACTGACGGACAAATGAGACACTGCTAAGGTTAGGAGTCGTAAAAACGAGACTTGATGATAACAGACCAATGAAATAGTATGCTTAAGATAGCTAGTAACATATGAGCAAGCATAAGCAACGCGATAGAAGATACTCATCTGCCACATGCTACCTGAATACATGTGAAGAAACAAATACGACCCAAAGTAGTGTTTTGGCTATCAACTATAACAATATTGACTGCAGTTAGGCTTACCATCCACTCTGAACTTATCCAGAAGATGTTGACTTCTTTCCATCTCAGAAGCGAGATTTTCAGTAGCTATTTGTAGTTTGGAATTTGCTTCACTGCATTTCGCTTGTAAAGAGGAGTTTTCATTCTCCAACCTTGACACATCTACATGGAAATACAAGTGAGGTAATTAAATCTACTCTCATAAGCTTCCTTTAAGAGGCCCTGGATGGATGAAGCAGCATTACTAAGCTCCTCGTTTTTTTCTTCTAGCTCCTTTACTTGTTCCTTAAATTTTGGAAACTAAAGACAAATCATTACTTTGTATAGTTTTATAAGTTGCTTCTGTGCCTCAATTTCATTTCCGTACAACTGCTCCATTTTTATTTGTTCATCCGTAACCTGAAAAATTGAGAAATAAGTATAACTTACTAGTTTAAGTTTGACGATGTACTCGTCATTTGTCTGAGTAAGCTTCTGTACATTTGTTTCTAGTCTTTCAATGCACTGTTTGGAGTTCTCAAGCTGAGACATTATAACACGAATTAAAAACATACTTCAACGTTACGAAGACCAAGTTCAGCTTCGAGAGAGTAAGACTTTTGGTACTGCAAAAATGTAGATTAAATCTGGACCTTACCGAATCTCTTCTAACCGTCAGTAACTGATCAGTTGTCTGTTGGAGACGTTCCTCTAACCAGTCATTGTGTCGCTGTAAGTTAGATAGTTCGTCTGACCAACGAGCTTCTTGAGCCTAAATATGAAGTGATCGGGAGATGAAATACATACTTTTATCGACGACTCACGCCCGATAATATCTTCCGACTTCAACATCATTTCTATTTTTAGTTTCCGAACATTTTCGGCTTCTGTACGTAGCTCGCTAATGTCAGAAGTTAGAGAGTCAATCAACCCGAGCTTATTCTTTAGTTGATCTGACAAAATTTCTTTCTCATTTTCTAATCCACGGATAGCGAGGTTAAGCTCATTATTAACGGACAAACAGTCGTTTAATTTTGTACGGTAATCCTCCTTCTCCACATTAACATTATGAAGCTTTTCTTCGATAGCGTAAAGTGCATCGTTGCATTCTTTCAGCTTTTTCTCTAATTCTTCAGATGCTGACTTAAGTTTGTACTGCTCTTCAGAATAATGCAACGCACTATTTTCTAAAACGAATAAAAAAAGAACACACCTATACCTTGAGCTTTCTGAAGTTTCGCAAGTTCCTCTTTCGCCACTTCAGCATCGTGATAGATGTTATCAAATGCAATATTAAGTTTAGTAACTAGTTCAGGGCTGACTAATTCTATTTCTTCCTCGGTAACCCCACCATAACTGCACAGACTTTCAAACCTCATCATCCAACAAAACACAAATGTACCGCGCAGCCTCAAGGCTAGAAGCTAGCCTACAGTGATAAGAATAGTAGGTCGTTTGACCTGTGTTAATCCATACAGCCTATTTTCTAGTGTGGATTCAAACGCAGCTTGAAACTTCTCACTGGTTGTACTGATAATGCCTGCCAGGGTAGGGCGTTCCAAATGGTTGTGTTTTCAGTTTTTCGGTGTTACCTTTAAGGTTTTTGTTCGAACTAAGCTTAATTAGGTATTAAAGGGGATGAACCAACCGAGCTATATTGGCTGAACATATATTCCTGCAAGTTCTACCATGCCAGGCAGGTCGATTGGAGAACGGTAAGACTAAAAGTAACAAGTCAAGGTCTGAGGGCGAAGTCGTACTGTAGACTGCACATGGGTGAGACAGCAATAAGGTGTTGTCCTCGGGCAACCAGCATCTGCAGCTATGCTTCCTTCTCACAAGGAAGGAAGGGGTTAGAAAAGTTCGACCCTGAAAACATCACACCTCACCGTACCTCACGGATTTCCATCTCCGGCGGTAAGGCTCTTTGAAGAACGGAGCTAACACGTCAAAAACCTCCCACAAAAACGCTGTGCGCGACCGGCCTCAAGCAGTTGTACCTTGGGCTTTGCGGCCACGCTCCCACGTCGTTAAGTCCAACATTAATCCGACTTCCTTCTTAGGTTCCTCAATAAATGCCCTTCCATAGTGTGGGCAGCCGGGAAGTGACATCAGCCCTCATACCCGTAACAGAACACGAGACCAAGTTGGTCACATTCAAATCCTTCCTACACCTCCTAATACCACTCTTATCCCCACGACTAATCCTTCTCGCGTCCCTTTATCACATCGCACCGGTAGGGCAAACGATTCGAGTACGTGGAACGCTATTCCTGGTCTCCTGAAACCACGCTCTAAACTACACGTAGGAGCTTTTAACGTACGAACACTGTGCCAAATAGGACAGCAGGCTTCCTTAGCTAAGACTTTAGAATCTCGCGCCATCGATGTGTGCTGTGTCTCCGAAACGCACATACAGGATCCGAGTAGAGTCATTTATTTGACATCACCATATCAAAATAAAGAACCAGCTCGATTCACACTTCGTGTATCTGGAAGCCAAGTTGCTGCTTCTCGTGGCCTCGCCAGTGTAGGTGTAGCATTGAGTCCTAGGGCAGAACTAGCCCTCTTAGACTGGATCCCAGTAGACAGTCGTTTGTGCGCTGTCTGACTAAACGGAACAGTGAGGACTCGGAAAGGTAGGGACACTCGCCGTCGCCTCTTCGTCGTCTCTGCCTATTCTCCCACTGACTGCAGCTCAGATGCTGTAAAAGATGAGTTTTATAGAAAGCTTGCCGACCTCCGAAAAGCTAGGCGCTCTGATGTAGTAATAGTGGCTGGTGACTTTGATGCTCAAGTAGGTAAACTAAGCGATAGGGAAAGACACCTAGGTGGATCTATGGTGTCGAGGCTCAAAGAACAGACAATGGCGACCGTCTGTTGCAGCTATGCTGAGATAACCCACAACGAGGCAGTATGGAATGACATCCGAAAAGCTGTGGAAACAGTATTGATATCTGCTAGTACGGTAAACCACATAGTTAGGGGGAAACATTGGATCCCAGCAGCATCTACCGCAATGAAAGATGCTCAAAAACGCATTCCACCTGGCTCTGAACATAATGAAGAGCGGAATCAGCTTAAACGCAAGCTGACAAGAAGTCTACGCAATGATCGTGAACTATGGTGAGTAGCGAAAGCAAGAGAGATGGAAAAGGCAGCAGCAAAATGTAATAGCAGACAATTGTTTAGACTTGTAAAAGAAACTGGGATTAGGAACCCGGGTGTTAGCGAAACAATCTCAGAGAAAGATGGACATATTATACATTCTCAATCCAAGAGATTGGATCGATGAGCATAACACTTTAGGGATCATTTCAACTGACCTTCAGCCACACTTCGGTTTCCCACGTTCTCCAGTCAACCTGAATGGCAAGTTAATGTAAGTCCTCCAAATCTTTACGAAGTTGAAAAAGCCATAGGAAATCTGAATCGAAGGAGAACAGAAGGTCATGACAGGTTCACTCTTGAGAATTTTAAGGATGGCGGTTCAGTATTAGCAATGAGATTAACCGAGGTCTTAGGTAGAATTTGGGAACTGGACGTAATCCCATCTGACTGGTCTCAATCACTGATTGTGCCAGTCTATAAGAAAGGACAAAAGTCCTCTTGTGACCATCACAGAGGAATCAGTTTGACTAATATAGTGTCCAAAATATTAGCTTCAATAATACTTCGACGCCTAACCAAAGGTCGTGAAGAACATACTAGAGGGAATCAGGCTGGTTTTCGACCTGGACGTGGTTGTATAGACCAAATATTCACACTACGTCAGGTTCTAGAACACAGACACACGTTTAGACGCCCCACAATGGTAGTATTTCTCGACCTTAAGACGGCATTCGACTCTGTTGATCGTAAGGTTCTATGGCAGTGTTTGTCACTGAAAGGAGTACCAAAGAAGTACATTAACTTTATAAAGGTTCTCTACTCGAACACAACTGGTAGAGTGAGAGCTTATGGCGAACTGTCATCAGAATTGATTACATCAAGTGGTGTTCGTCAGGGCTGTCCACTCTCCCCATTCTTGTTCAACTTTGTGGTCGACGTACTTTTAGAGATAACACTCTCCTCATATAAATTTCCAGGGGTTGAACTTCTACCGGGAGGTTCACTTGTTGACTTAGAATATGCTGATGACATAGTTTTATTTGGTGAAGACGCTGACAAAATGCAGAGTCTTCTGACCACTCTAAGCAACAATGCAAGCATGTTCGGGATGCGATTCTCTCCCTCGAAATGCAAAATCTTGCTTCAGGATTGGGTTACATCGACACCCGAACTAGTGATAGGTAGTGAAGTAGTTGAGTGTGTCGACCACTTCACTTATCTTGGAAGTCTCATCAGCCCTTGTGGTCTGGTGTGTGACGAAATCTCAGCACGGATACAGAAGGCTCGACTAGCTTTTGGTAACTTGCGTCATTTATGGCGTAGGCGAGATATTCGTCTATCAACCAGCAGCAGTTCGTTCCGTCCTACTTCATGGAAGTGAAACATGGCCGGTAAGAGTAGAGGATATTCGTAGGTTACTAGTATTTGATCATAGGTGTCTTCGAAACATTATTCGTATATCCTAGGACCATCGAGTAAGTAACACAGTTGTTAGGAAACGAGTACTAGATAAGGATGACAAACCGATTGATGAAGTAGTGAAACTTCATCAGTTCAGATGGCTGGGACACGTGTTACGTATGCCCAACGACCGACTGCCTCGACGTGCGATGTTCGGTGGTATGGGAGTAGATTGGAAGAAAGCTAGGGGCGGCCAGACCAAAACATGGCACAAGTCCATGAAGTCACTGACAAGTGGTCTGAGTCATGTTGGTAGGTGTAGACTACATGGTTGGGGACCGCGAGATGATAGCAACCGATGGTTAGAGAGCCTGAATGACATGGCTCAAAAGCGTTCGCAATGGCGCAGGTGTCCCCTCGAATTCTAATCTTCTAAATATTTTGTGTCCCTTATTTTCTTTCCAAATTCATTTCACTGGATTATACTTCTTGACTAACATCTTCAAACCCTAATTTTTTCGATTATTGCTTATACCCATACCGCCTTTACCACTACGAGATCTGGATCGACAACTGCATCTCTGTGCCTATGTGGTGTGGCAACTCGAACTGATGTACGTATGTACGGAGTTATACATCGTTACTAACTGACTGACGCAGTTAGCGTAAGACTTCTGACTATAGGCTACCAACACATATACCTTTCACAACTTGGGATACCTCTAAAGGAGAGTTGCTTAAGTCGTATGCATACTACGCAACATGTCGCAGATGGATAACTTTACGCTTTGAAATCTCAAAGTAAGTCCTATGTTGTCTGCCCAACGTTTTAATTTAGTCAGATTCCCCTGAAATTATGATATTCTGATTACCTAATGGATCAGTCATCTATATTAATCTTTCTAGATAGTTAGAATTAACTGTGCATACAAGCCAGTTGTGAGCGATAGGTCATGCAGAAGCTACAAATCAACCCGTTTGAGATTGAGGATGCGAAATTAATGCAGCTCACATTGTGCCACTAAAGATTATGTACTGTACTAAGTCTTCAGTTTATTGAATGCTCGTAAGTTGATAAAGTTAGTAGAAGCCATGTGATTATCAGTGACAACATAGGTTTCAGCCAAACGGAATATAACCTTCAACCCAGTTTTACGTTAATAGCATAGATTCCAATTAGTGTTTTTATAAATACAACAATGATATCTCCAATCTGCAAGAGGTTGCTCGACTTCTGAAAATGATGATTTTCGCAAATGGCTGTTAACAAACCTCCAATCAAACTGATAAAGTTCCATAACACTTACTGGGGAACCAAATTATAGAAATAATTTCTTTCGAAACCATCGGTGTTAGATAAAGATAGCTGTGGAAAAACAACACTATTTATGGAAATAGCTATCAGTCAGATTATCGACTAATTTGGTTCTTATTTCCATCGCTTATACCAACTATATTACGTGGTTTTCAAGCTTTATGGCAATGTTGAGAAATTATTATGAATAGCCACTTATAGTTTCTACATGACATTAGCTATGAGAAAAATAGGTGTTGTTTTGAGTGCCCAATACTTATGATAGTCCAGAATACGTTCATGTTTACTGATTCGGAAATGTCTGATGAGGTTACTTTTATTTGATCTAAAATGCTTCGTTTAAAACCCCATTTCTTATAGTAGTATGTTGTCATACGGAATCATTAAATGTATATTACACCAAAAACGCGTTTCTGTGTGATGTTATAATGATTATATATATACGACTGGTCTAGATGAGTATAAGTTCCTGTATGTCAGAATAATGGATCATTTAGTGAACTGACGAAACTCATCTGAATTGTTTTCGGAATTCATCGTTATTTCGAGGGTTGTAATTATTTTATCAGCTAAACAGTCTAGTAACACGTATAGTGGTTCATTATCTAT